GTGGGAGACAAGGCCGGAGAGGGAAGAAGTTATGCCAATCTCGGCATTGCTTATGACAGTCTCGGAGAGTTCAAAACAGCCATCCAGTACCATCAACGTCATCTAGAAATTGCTAAAGAAGTGGGAGACAAGGCCGGAGAGGGAAGAAGTTATGGCAATCTCGGCATCGCTTATGACAGTCTAGGAGAGTTCAAAACAGCCATCCAGTACCATCAACGTCATCTAGAAATTGCTAAAGAAGTGGGAGACAAGGCCGGAGAGGGAAAAAGTTATGGCAATCTCGGCAACGCATATCAAGGTCTAGGAGAGTTCAAAACAGCCATCCAGTACCATCAACGTCATCTAGAAATTGCTAAAGAGGTGGGAGACAAGGCCGGAGAGGGAAGGAGTTATGGCAATCTCGGCAACGCTTATCACAGTCTAGGAGAGTTCAAAACAGCCATCCAGTACCATCAACGTCATCTAGAAATTGCTAAAGAAGTGGGAGACAAGGCCGGAGAGGGAAAAGGTTATGGCAATCTCGGCAACGCTTATGACAGTCTAGGAGAGTTCAAAACAGCCATCCAGTACCATCAACGTCATCTAGAAATTGCTAAAGAAGTGGGAGACAAGGCCGGAGAGGGAATAAGTTATGGCAATCTCGGCATCGCTTATGACAGTCTAGGAGAGTTCAAAACAGCCATCCAGTACCATCAACGTGATCTAGAAATTGCTAAAGAAGTGGGAGACAAGGCCGGAGAGGGAAGAAGTTATGGCAATCTCGGCATCGCTTATGACAGTCTAGGAGAGTTCAAAACAGCCATCCAGTACCATCAACGTGATCTAGAAATTGCTAAAGAAGTGGGAGACAAGGCCGGAGAGGGAAAAAGTTATGGCAATCTCGGCGTCGCTTATGACAGTCTAGGAGAGTTCAAAACAGCCATCCAGTACCATCAACGTCATCTAGAAATTGCTAAAGAAGTGGGAGACAAGGCCGGAGAGGGAAGAAGTTATGGCAATCTCGGCGTCGCGTATTTCAGTCTAGGAGAGTTCAAAACAGCCATCCAGTACCATCAACGTCATCTAGAAATTGCTAAAGAAGTGGGAGACAAGGCCGGAGAGGGAAAAAGTTATGGCAATCTCGGCGTCGCTTATGACAGTCTAGGAGAGTTCAAAACAGCCATCCAGTACCATCAACGTCATCTAGAAATTGCTAAAGAAGTGGGAGACAAGGCCGGAGAGGGAAAAAGTTATGGCAATCTCGGCATCGCTTATAAAAGTCTAGGAGAGTTCAAAACAGCCATCCAGTACCATCAACGTCATCTAGAAATTGCTAAAGAAGTGGGAGACAAGGCCGGAGAGGGAAAAAGTTATGGCAATCTCGGCATCGCTTATGACAGTCTAGGAGAGTTCAAAACAGCCATCCAGTACCATCAACGTCATCTAGAAATTGCTAAAGAAGTGGGAGACAAGGCCGGAGAGGGAAAAAGTTATTGCAATCTCGGCGTAGCTTATGACAATCTAGGAGAGTTCAAAACAGCCATCCAGTACCATCAACGTCATCTAGAAATTGCTAAAGAAGTGGGAGACAAGGCCGGAGAGGGAAAAAGTTATGGTGGTCTCGGCAACGCGTATCAAGGTCTAGGAAAGTTCAAAACAGCCATCCAGTACCATCAACGTCATCTAGAAATTGCTAAAGAAGTGGGAGACAAGGCCGGAGAGGGAAAAAGTTATGGCGGTCTCGGCAATGCCTATCGCAGTCTAGGACAGTTCAAAACAGCCATCCAATACAATCAACGTGATCTAGAAATTGCTAAAGAAGTGGGAGACAAGGCCAGTGAGGGAACCAGTTATTGCCATCTCGGCAGTATTCATCTCCGTAAAAGAGAGTTGAAAACGGCAATCGAGTGTTTTCAACGTCACCTAGAAGTATCCAAAGAAGTGGGAGATAAGACTGGAGAGGCGTGCTCACTCTGTTCCCTTGGAATCAGTTTTGAGTGCCAAGGAAATCTTACGAGGGCCTTTGACTGTTATTACTCGAGTGTTGAATTGTATGATGATATCAGGGCCAGTCTTCAATTCAACGATCAGTGGAAGATTTGTTATCGTAATCAGCACCAAGTAGCATACAAAGGTTTGTGGCGTATAAATCTCAATCGAGGTCAAGTTGTGAAGGCTCTTCTTGCCGCAGAGAAAGGACGTGCTCAAGCTCTGAGAGATCTCATGGTCACAAAATACCAGCCTGGAGATTCTTTAACGCCCAGCGCATCCCGCATTTCTCTGAGGTGGGTTCCATTGAGCACAGTTTTCGTAGCTATTAGTGGACCGTGCGTTTACTTCTGGGTTTGCCTCAGTGAAAATAATATCCAGATGAGAGAAGTACACGTGAACAATTACAAGTATGAGGATGAGTTGGAATTTTTCATCCAGCTACTGAACAAAACTGCTCTTAAGGAGATCGGCGCAAGAGATACTGTTACCATCGAGAATCCTCCGCTTGACTCGCCGACAGAAGAGGAAGTGGCCAATGATGTGATCCGAGTTGATGTGAGACACTCCCAATCAAGTGCTTTAAAGAAGCTGCATGACATCATCGTTACTCCTATTGCTGACCTGATCGAAGGCAACGACGAGATCACATTCGTTCCTGAGGGGCCATTTTGCCTTGTACCTTATACAGCGTTGCAGGACTCCAACTCATCATATCTAAGTGATTCTTTCAGAATTCGTGTGCTTCCCTCCCTGACGACCTTGCAACTAATTCATGATTGTCCAGCTGACTTTCACATGAAGACTGGTGCATTGCTTGTCGGCGACCCATGTTTCAAACACATCATCTATGAGGGAACACTTTTGGTGCAACTCCCAGGAGCAAGGAAAGAAGTGGAGATGATCGGACGTATCCTAAATGTCTCCCCCCTCACTGGAGAAATGGCAACAAAACAGGAAGTGTTAAAACGAATATCATCAGTGGCGTTAGTTCATATTGCAGCGCACGGTAAAAAGGAAACTGGAGAAGTTATCCTGGCACCAAACGCCACAAGAGAAAATCCTCAGCCGCAAGAGAAAGACTATCTACTGACGATGAAAGATGTCATAGAAGCTGGGTTGCGAGCACGTCTGGTTGTACTTAGCTGCTGTCACACTGCTCGTGGGGAGGTCATGGCCGAGGGTGTAGTCGGCATGGCGCGTGCACTTTTGGCTGCCGGTGCCAGATCTGTTGTGGTAACCTTGTGGGCGATTGACGACGAGGGAACCCTGGAGTTCATGAGTTTCTTCTACGATGCACTTGCCAAAGGCAAGAAGGCAAGTGAAGCTCTCAATCAGGCCATGAAGTGTATGAGAGAAATTGAAAAGTTCAAGGAGGTGATTTACTGGGCACCATTTGTACTCATTGGTGACGACGTCCAGCTGGATTTCAAAGATATTTCGAAGCTGAAGTAAGTAAATATTCTGTTTACACATTCTATTCAATACAAAGTTACATAAAATCATAATTATGGCTTATATGTTTCAGTTGGGTTACGAATTTATGTTTTGCTCCGGCAAATTGAGATGCAGTACAATCAAGAGGACACGTTTACGATGATAACATTCTTTTTAGGAAACCTGATAGGAGTAAAAGAGCATTTTTTTTTAAATAATCCTATTGTGCAATGTATCGTTTCATGTGCTAAGAAATATTTCATTGCAACTTAACTATCCTCCCTAAACTTAGATTCTTTTATTTTTCAGTTAAGTCAGTGAGCATTGGAATCCCAGGGAGTTTTAGGATACCTGCAAACACTGATATTTGGACCATAAACCAGTAAGCTACCGATAAAATATTTGTCAAGAGTCTTCTTTACAAAGCAGGAAGAACCGAAAGACGGCCAAAGTCAAGTCTAACAAGAGAACGGATTTCCATTGATTCAAAAGTTGACATTTTGCTTGTCTGAACTGCTCTTACGAGCTTCATCTTTGATATCCTGCCGGAACAACCTTTTTTTTTATATGATGTCTTGGAATTATCATGACAAGCTATGTAAAAAGGTTTTTTTCTAAATCTAAGTATTAGCTACTAAGAGGATTAAGGCTTGCGTTTACGTCGAAGTTGAAACGTCTTGAAAGCGTTTTCGACAGTTTTTTTACAGATTTTTCCTAATCGAATTTTGTCTCATGAGTGATGTAAAGCTGTTGTAGCCATGTGCATGTGTGGAGAATTTCCATGGAAATTAGAGAATAATCAGTTGTCCGATTGCTCGATTATCTTAGTTTATGTCAGATGGAAATTGTGATTAACTTTTCGAGGATTTGTACCCAGTCATTGGTACCTAAAGTTCGTTTCTGCCGATCAGAATTTGGTTTATCTGGACTTAAAATGACAGATTTTGGTTGTAATGGCCAGAATTTAATCCTGGTATTAGTTAATTTTCGGAGATTTTTCCTTTAATTTTGAAGGCGATAAATTGTGTTATTTTTTACAAGCAGAACGATGCATTTTAAGTATTTTGTTTAAACTAATCGTCTAGAGGCAAAACGTGAAGTTTTATATTAATTTTAGTTACTGGCGCACAAAGCTTTAAAAGAAGCTCAGAACGAGCTAGAAAGTTGGAGCCAAATGATTTCATTTAGTTTCTCCGATTAGATTGTTTACCTATTATCTAAGTACAATAAACTAACATTTGAATGTCAAACAATGAAACAAGTCGCTTGGCATTTTGTTAGAATGGAAGAGGAAATCAGAAACAAAGAGAAGAAAATTTCTGCATCAACCTGCATAAGCCATTTCTTGTCGTTTGAAGTAGTGAGCGCGCCTAAGTCTTATTCCCTTAATAACTTTTGCCCACCCCTTTGATTAGGTTTATTGAATGAGAGATGAATTTCGATGTTTTCTGACTCTATAACTGCTAGTATCGATCATAGGCAGCCGTTACCGAGGATGTCACGCGACGCACTTCTTTAGCGCGTTATGCGACAGATGTGGTGTTTTGTCACATCTTGTCGTTTGAAGTAGTGAGCGCACCGATGTCTCATTCGTTCAACTTTGCCCATTGCCTTGGATAGAGTTATTAAATGAGATATAAACCTCGATATTTTCAGATCTTATAACTGCAAGTTTCATCGGTAGCCGTTCCTTAGGATGTCACGCAACGCGCTTCTTTGCATGTAATGAGACAGATATGATGTTTTGTCAAAAATCGTTGGAGGCAAGAAAAGAGAAATTGCCTTTCACTTTGGGAGATGGTGCTTTAATCTGTTTATCGAAAGCGTCCTTATCATAGGAGATACCGTAGGTCGGTACGGTTCCACGAGTGTAGAAAATATTGATGACTTTTTTTTCCACGATTGCAAACTTAAGTGCCGCTCTCGCTAAGAGCGGTCCTCTCGACTTCCCGTCCAAGAAAAGTTTTCCTTTATTTTTTGCCCATGAAAAGGGTTTAGGACACATATTTCAAAAATAGTTTGGTTGTTCTCTAATTCTATTTTTTCGCGTCGCCACAAGCCAAAAGTGATTTTTGGCTAGACCCCCCGTGTAGACCGCGATCGATATACATTCAGTCAGTTCACAGACAAAATATGAAAACTTCACTTGAAATCCTAATCATACCAGCGTGATCAGAAGAGAACCTTCCCTTCGACCTTAATTTGCATATGAAAAATTCATCAATTTATAGGAAATAATTCTCGAATGCAGGTGTAAATCGGGCTCAAAAAGCATATCAGTGGATAGTTTATACACCAATGAGGTCACTGCTTGCCTCAAACCCGCGGGTGTCTCTCTAGTTTTCATCCACCAACATCTTGAAAACAACGCAAATCCATGTGTTTACTCAATTACGCAAATGTCAAAGCTCATTTGCATAATTATGAAAATTGACCAAAATATCTCTTTGACCGTTCAAACTTCGTTTGTTTATCTTCTACGTAAATTGTTTTAGGTTTTTATAACAACTAGATGGAAAATTAATCCCAAGTTGTCTTAAAACGTTGCATAAACGAGATCAGTCGTAACGCTAGCAGGACCAACAAAGTAAACAAAAGCGATCGAAAGACGTTTCCCTTGAATCAGGTCATGAACCACGCACAGAATGGAGAAGATCAAAATTAAAGAACACAACTTGGCACTCTGGTCATTGCGTATATACTGCGTAGCTTAAAGGTACACGGAAACAATTACGTTTTGGTGTTATTTACAAAACAATACGTGTACACTCTGCAAGAATTCTTGCAGTTTCGACCAAGGTTTAGCACACGGAATGCAATCATCGGGCGTTCCTTTCTGAAAATTTGCTGCCATCATTAAATATTTTATGCTGTTACAGACCACAACGTTCTTGAGGGACGACTCTATCTTTTCCTGCGACCATCCAAACCAGTTAGGCAAACTCGGATTGGTGTATTGCGTGACGCGATTATGCTAAATAGTTCACTTGATATATGACTCGTTTCGCGGGTGTGAAAATTGAACCTAAAAAGTAGTTAATATAATGTTAATTAGAATGGACTGAAGTAAAGGAAATGGGGATGGTATTTGAGTTTGCAATGTTGCACCCACCTCCTCGTCCCCGCCCCACTTCAAAATTCATGAGGGGGGCCATGGTCCCAGCATACCTCTATCCAGCCCCCTCGCTTAAGCTAAGGTCGTGCCCCACGTGTTTGCTTGGCGGAGAGGAGAGTTACTTCAGTTATTCATATGTTTTGAGAAATTTATCCCAGAAAAATGTCTACATGTTTCTTGGAAAGCAGAGATTGTAGTGGCTGCGGGCATTTCAGCGGAGTTTCAGCCCCGATATCTCTCCTGGAATGCCAGGACGACGTATCAAGTCATTTAAAGTATTACCACCTATCCAGCAAAATCTTAGAGTACGAGTTGATTTTGTTTCGTTCCGGTCATTTTGGCCTCGAAATGGGAAAATTAAAACAGATGTTTGTTTGTTCTAAACATCGGAACGCTTTGGGAAAACATTGGAAATGTGGTAAAAGTACTTGTCAGCATCCAGAGCACAAAGGAAAATGTGAGGCAGTGAAAGGAGACCGAGTGTTCAACGCCAGATTGGCTAGAGATGTTTTCGAAGTTTACGGAATTATAGTTGCAGTCGGATCACGTGAGTAATATTACTCAATTTCTCGATTGTGAGAAGGCTAGTATCTTTCTAATAATTTATTCGTAAGGACCTATCTGCCCTTGCAGACTGAAATAGAATCGTCTCCATAAAATCATAGGACAACTTTTTGCCATGAAAAATGTCTCTGTTTTTGCATCGGCTTAAAAATTTCAAAGCTGTCAAATTTCGTCAGCGCTTGATCTGCTCGTATGACTGGCCGGCATAATTTGCCAATGGATTCAAACTTGAATTGCCAGGATTCATCTTAAGTCTTTTCAAAGTTTTAAAAATCCACGAGTTTCGCAAGAAAAGACTACTACTGTCTACTCTGGTGGCACCTTTTGTAACAAATGATCGACAAGTTCAACACGGCTTTGTTTATTTAGTCGCTTTAGTCCAGTTTTCACCCGTGGGAAATTTTGTCGGCGGTGTACTTGGAGATTTTCCTGCTTCAGCCAATATTTGTCAAGTCGCGACAAACCATCCATATTTTTAAAAGGTGTTTTTGAAGACAGAAAATGTTTCGAGATAAACAATTTTTTTGCTGGTGTGGATCCGGATAGGCCCTACAAATTTCAATGGTTAAATTTTGGGTTGAAATTTTGCGCTGTTTGCAATGTAATCGCTCCACGAGGCAGCGAAGAGTTATTGCAAGCCTTTAAGACCCCGGCAGTAAATGAAGTTTGCTCGGATGACTTGACCACGCTGATAACCGCATACAAACAGGCACCTTCGAAGAACCTGAAAACCCAGATCTTGAGCATATATGCACCGCGCTATTCAGCGAGATTCTTAAAAAAAATTCACGAGCCCTTTGAAAAACTGAGCGATCGACAAATTAAGAAGGCAAGGGCTCATGCCAAAAATGTCGGAGCTGGCTTTAACCTCAACAAAATGCCACACCACAGAGTCCGAATAGACTTGGTGAAACTTGATCATTTTCTGTCTTTTGTAGACCAACCATATTTTTATCAAGATGTGGCCTATGGAACAAGGACTTTAAAACTTGACTCTGGGGATCATCTCGTCATGCCAAATGTCATCAGAATTGTTGGACGATCAACGATGATTGAACAGTATCTTAAACACTGTTGCGAGGAAGATTTCGACCCCCTTGGAAAATCAACGCTTTACAGAATTTTGCAAGTAAGAGAGGCCTCTCAAAGGCGGTCCCTTCAAGGGCTAGACAACACTGCAGTAAGCGGAGCGGAAGGGTTCGAAGCAATGCACAAGATAGTAAAGGAATTGGAGGAGGGTGGGGCAACTGAAAAGTGGTGTGAAGAAGTTCGAAGAGCACTGAAGGATGCCAAGCGATACCTGAAGACAGAGTATGGGATGCACTGTCAGGAAGATGGTAGTCCTTGCCCTGACCATTGTATGTGTTTTTCTTTAAGTGATCCTCAAAACCCCGAGTTTCAAGGAAGTTGTTCCCATGAACATCACGCTAGCTGTGATAGTTGCGAAAGTTTGAAATCCGTGATTCAGGCAATTGGAAAAGAAATTGAATCTCCTTCGATAACTTTTGACAACATAGAGAAGAAAGAGGACCTGAAACACGACCATGATGAAGCCAGAGAGGCGATTTTTCAGTGGAAGGCGCATATCATCAGGACTAAGAACCAGGAGAGAGCAAAACAGAATTTACTCACGTCCCTCCAAAAGAATGCCTCCCTTATTGTCATGGACTGGGCCATGAAGTTCATCCAACTGAAATACAGAGAAAAGCAGTCTGAGTGGTTCGGAAAGAGAGGAATAAATTGGCATGTTAGTTCAGTTATTACCAGGAATGCAGAGGACAACGGCCTTGAGATTATGTCATATGTTCATCTATTCTAAAGCTGTGCCCAAGACTGGTATACGGTTTGCGCAATTCTGGAAAACCTTCTC